CAATTCCTATATATATATATATATATATATATATATATATGTTATGGATGAATTAAACATAGTATAATGATTTTTTTTTTTCATACGATATGTTTTGCTTTACAAGAAAATGACTACTACTCATATTTCCAGTTAAAATAACCTACCATTTTTTCATTGAAGCAATAAGCTGGAACTATAAAATAATATATATGTTGTAGCTTGAGAGGGAGCGTTGGCATATTTTGTAGGTTCCTTCTAATGGAAATTATTATATTCAAGGGATATAATATGATATCCTCATAATTAGGGATATTATTCCAGATTATTTGTTTCTTAATTATGCTCCCTTTGTGACTTTATATAACCCCAACCTAATTGGTTAATGATACATAATTTTTTTTCCTCTCAACACAAACATATAAAATGTATTTATTCTCTAGAAGAAAATGAAAAAGAGAATTTTAAGGCTACGAGATTAATTTTTATTTTACTAATTTTTCTTTTAATTTGCATCATAATTTCATTTCAACTTATGCTAAGCCTATGTTGCATTTTTATTACTAAAATCTCTGAGACATGTAAAGGTCATAGATCACTAAGACTTAATTTCTGATAAAAAATTATGGCCCTCTTGAACATCTGACGAGCTATCATGGCTCGTTTTGACAGCCTCTAGTTTCCAACATATTACTATTTTTAAAATTAGTAGAATTCACTGTTAATTTTTTTTTTTAATTTATTATCCAATTTTATGACACAAATTCATAAAAGATATAATGATCAAAATCTTTGAATTCATGATTTTACATACCTATAAGTAAGAGAAATATACATGTATCCATGATTGTAGAATTAGATATGAGGAGATGAAGTTTTTCTCTCTAATCCATTGAAATTTTCTGTACTTTCTGATGAAGAGAAAGATACGGTGTTTGTTATGAAGAGAGAGAACCCTTATCTGAATTATGCGTTATTTAACTACCATCCATCAGTGAGTTACTAACCAATAAGATTTATGATAATTTAATTAATTAATTGATATTTATTATTAAAATAAATGACACATGTTAGTAACCACCATTCAAAAGCAGTAACTTATCAAAAAAATTTTAAAATAATTTAATTAATTAATTAAAATAAATGACACACACTATTAACTACAATCCATAAGGGGGTCACTTATGATAAAGGATTTAAGATAATTTAATTAATTAATTAAAATAAATGACACACATTATTAACCACAATCCATAAGGGGGTTATTTATCAAAAGGATTTAAGATAATTTAATTAATTAATTAAAATAAATGACACACATTATTAACCACAATCCATAAGGGGGTTATTTATCAAAAGAAATTTAAGATAATTTAATTAATTAATTAAAATAAATGACACATTAGTAACCACCGTCCATTAGAGGGTTATTTATCAAAAAGAATTTAATACAAT